TTGCCAACATTTTTCTCAGATTAATTCTAGCATGGGGGAATGCATGAGGAGAAGTGGTGATATGGACTACCACTATCAATGTCAACGTATCCCACCACACATATAAAGTACTTAGTATAGTGCATGGCACCAATTGTAAGTTAGCTCCTTTATCTCTTGACTTCTGAGGCAAGAGTGAAAATTTCACTATCTCTTTAGTAATTTCTGTGGTGAGTGTGACCATGGTGATTTGCAGAGTGCTATGGTGTGTTTTTGTGAAAGAGAATTCAAGCAGTGTTAGCTTAAGATGACCTTTGGAAATGTGAGTAAAGCAGAAAGAGGAATATTATTACTAATTTTGTGCTTTGATTGCTCATAGACCTGATATATTGATTTCAGATTTCTACTTTATTATTAATAAATCTATATAGTGGTTGCATATAATGGTTTTAATGCTTAAAGTACTTTCACTATACATTTCAAGACACATTATACTTTAGAGAAATAACTCAATCTATGGAGTCAGACAAACATAATCTGAGTAGAGTCTTACTGGTATTGGTTATGTAATTCCGGGCACACACTTCTGTGTGCCTGTTTCTTCTGCAAAATAGAGTCAGAGCAATACTCTATTAGTCCAGTTTCCCCAAGAGGATTGTAGCATGCAAGAATTTTATTAAGAAAAATGCCAGCCCTGGCCAGTTTGGCTCCGTGGTTGAGCATCGGCCTGCGGACCAGAGAGTCCCAGGTTCAGTTCCCGCTAGGGGCATGTACCACAAAAAAAAAAAAAAGAAAGAAAGAAAGAAAGAAAGAAAGAAAGAAAGAAAGAAAGAAAGAAAGAAAGAAAGAAAGAAAGAAAGAAAGAAAGAAAGATGCCAATGAGAGGCAATGGAAAGCAGGTTGGAGGATATTGGAAGCACCATTAGATCATGACTCACTTTGACCTCAAAAGAAGAATAAAGAGAACGATAGCAGCACCCTTGATCACCATGAGGTCTCAGAAATACTCAGGAAGGCCTTCAGAAAGTCCTCAAGTCAATCTCTACTCAGAGGAGTCTCTCGTCTTCCAGAACCTGTGTTAGTAGCCCTGTCATGCAAACCACTGGCTGGAAGCAGCCCCTAGGAAGCATGACCTGGGAGAAAGTGAGGCAATGAATGAAGAGCACAGTGGCTGGGACCCTTAATTTTACTAAGTTATTCCCCCTTTCTACAAGTGCATTATTATGGCCTCCATATATACCTTGCAGCTTTATTGTGAAATTAGAAATAATGTAGGTAAATTGCCTATGAAAGTATGTTTGACACATACTACATGCTCAATAAAGAATGTCTATCATCATATCTCAATTGTGAACTCTTTATCATAATAATTATGTGATACTCATAAGGTACATCTTACTTAATCCTAACAAAACTTCTTGCTATTAGGAGTTTGTATTAGTTTGCCAAGGCTGCCATTTCAAAGTACCATAGGTTGTGTGGCTTAAACAGCAGAAATTTGTTTTCTAACAGTTCTGGAGGCTAGAAGACCCAGATCAAGGTGTTGGAAGACTTGGTTTCTTCTGAGGCTTTTCTCCTTGGCTTATAGAGGGCCATATTGTCTATTGTCTCTGTGTCTTCACATTATCTTCCCTCTGTGTGTATGTCTGTATTCAAATTTCTTCTTCTTCTAAAGACACTAGTTATATTGGAGTTGGGTCTACCCTAATGACCACATTTTAACTTAATCATATATTCTAAGACCCTCTCTCCAAATACAGTACCATCTGAGGTATTGGGAGTTAGGACTTCAAAATAGGAATTTGGGGGGGGGGGTTACAATTCAGCCATAACAGTATTGTTAGCCATACATTCCAGATAAGAAAACTGAGAATTAGACATGTCAAATAAGAAGCCATGGTTATGCTTATAATGAAATGCAGAAACTGCATCTCTGTAATTCCAAGCAAAGTCTATTCTGTTTTTATGAAAGTGCATTATACACCTGATTCTTGTATATACTTGGCCCTTTTAGGTAGAGGGTAAAAACAGAGGGTTATTCAGCCTAATGGATGTGGACCCAATATCCATAAAGTAAGATAAGCCCTTGAATCAAGTCTCACACATCTTTAAGCTAGGTTCACAATAGAGGGTGATTTTTGCCTACTGGAGGGGTATTTATTTGACTTCTGGATACAGTTTCTGTTGTTACCACTGGGGTGTGCTGCTGGCACCTAGTGGGCATTTGTCAGGAATGCTGCTAAATATCCTACAATGCACAGGAGAGCCTCCTGAAACAATGAATTATCTGGCCCCAAACGTCAACAGTGAATAAGTTGAGAAGCCCTACACTAGAGTAAGGCAATTTGGTCATTAAACCAGGACTAAAGGAACAGGAAATTGTACAGACGTCTTTTGAAATATTAAGGGCACAATACATACATGTAGACTTGTCTGCCAACCAGAACTGAACTCATTAATTTTTAATGTATCATGTTGCTATCAATTTAGTCCAGAATATAACATTATTGTTTTAAAAGCATAACTTGTGGCATACGTGCTTATACTTGGCTTTATCCCTATTTCTTGGAAATTATTATACTCTTGCTGATGATAATAATCAGTTTTAAAAGCTATTTATTGAGTACTATGTTCTTGGTAATTTACATATAGTTTCTCATTTTTAAGACAAGATGGAGAAATTGTGGCTAGAGGAGAAAATAAGCAAATTGCTAAGGTCATGAAACCGGTAAATGTCAGAGCCTGCATTATCAAGGGCTGTCTGAATATGAAGCTTTTGCTTTATCTGTTACATCACCTTCCCCTTGTTGGTGTGTTTAGAAAGTCACTGAGTCATAAAAATTACTGAAAGTCATCTATTAAAAGCCAAAACCTTATTGAATCCAGGGCACCTCTACAGAAATGCTTACCCGAATGTTTTTGTAAATACAGGGCCATTCTAAACTGTTTCTTCGTTTTTATAAATAAGCCACTTAAGGGTACTTTTAAAATTAACTTCTAAAAGACTTAGAGGAAATTAAACATTTTTTACAAAGTATCTCACATACAATATCTAGTGAGTCTAAAAATTTTTGTCAATTTTTCACTCAGTGTCCAGACAGTAAGGATTGCTCTTCTGTGTTTTGTTGCCCTCTTAAATGTTCCCTTAATAGTAGGTTATGCCATCTGATGGGCAATTTTGCTTTGCACCATTTTGCTTGTCATGTTATTTCCTAACATTAAGTAGCTGAGACTAGAAAAGGGCTCATAGAGGTTACACAGCTCGATAGAATGCCTGTCCTTTTTTCTTTTTTCCTTTACTTTTTTTTTCCCACCAACTTTCCATTACACTTATGCCCTCCCTTGTTTTGCCTTACAAGCTCACTGGGGACAATACAACAAAAAATGCAAATATTCATTTTTTTCTCTTATAGTGTTCATTTTTTTTATGGCCAGTTAGAACTAGCTGAAGGGAAGAGAATAAGCAGAAAGAGCGTCAAAAAAATTGTTCTTCTCTGTCTAAATGTAAATTGCTACTCTGTTAAGGAAGTGGTGCTGCTCCCACCAAAACAAAGAGTGAAGTATATTTTATTCAAAGCAAAACTCTGTGTATGCATGTAAATGTTTATACTATGAATAACATTCCCCATGACAGTCTAGCCAGAAGGAAAATATGAAATGCTTTTTAAACAAACTGCTTTTTTTGATAGATACTCATAAAGTTATTTGACTTTGAATAATACCATTATAACATTTAATTTAACTAGCAGGGTTTGAAAGATATGAAAATGCAGTTCCCCTGCTGTGTCATGTCCTCAATAATGTCTGATGACATCTCCTGAGGTCATGTCCACATTTTAGCAGACTTTATATCAAGTGAAATGATTGTTGTTTTAGAAATGCATTCTTTTTGTACCTCTTATACAACAGTCTCAGTTTTGCATGAGATATGTCTCCTCTTGGCATAATATTACATTTAAAATTGTCTGAACAAAAAATGGAAAAATGTCCTCGGGTGAGGATAAAAAAATAAATAAATAAAATAAAACCTCTTAACTCTTTGCTACAATTTATTTTCAGAAATTCATTTGCATTCGCTCTTTAACAAAGCACCTTTCATATTACATGTTGTTTATAGAAAAGAAAAAAAAAAAAAACTTCATATACTGTTTGTGGAATCTGACACCTAAGTAACCTTTTCTTGGCCCAAAATGGTTTCTAGATATTAAGTGCCACTTCATTCAGCACCATTTTTTGTGTGTTAGTCTTTGTAAATTGCACTTTAAAACTTACCTGCTGCTCTGGAGTCAGACACAGCTTTATTAATGAATCAGGAAATGACTTTCAAGTTGAAAACATTCTATTCTACTTACTCCCAAGGTCCTAAAGAACACCCTTTAGAATAATATTTGACTGACTTTTAACATCTCTTATCGAAAAAAAAAGGCATATTCACAACTGCACGTTTTGAATCCAGCTTCCCTTTTTATTCATGAAAATACACACTGAAAGTTACTTCCCTCCAATTACCCATAATGCTGAATTTTCGTTAAAACTTCACAGAACTGTAAGTAGCTTAACTTTTAAAAAATTCCAGTTGACTTTGTTTCTATATAAACATTAACATACATTTTTGTTTCAAAGAAGGCAATGAAAGAAAGAAAAACCATAGCCAATGGTTTTGGGCAGGTACTATTACAGATTGTGCAACTGTACTGTTAACAGTTGTTTCTAATATATACTGCTGGAACAAAACTACATTGATATTATATTGTCAGTCTGTTCTCCCACACCCTCCAAATAAAACCCTTTCTTGCTAAGAAGTTATTCAGGTTCTGGTTAGTTTTTTCTTTTTCTAAGATTATGGGAAGCTTGATTTTTACAGAACTAAACCCTTCTAGATGATAATACTGAGCATCTTTACAAATTGCATACTTATAAATTCACATAAGAAAGTTTTTGATTCAGACTTTTTAGCTAATTGATGTTTACAGAATTTTAGTAATATAGACTTTAATAATGTTGAGTCTCTCATAAAGATTTTACAGGTTAAGATGTGGTCTTTTCCTGAAGGCTGTTTCATCTTCCTTATCTTCTTCTTCATCATCATCTGGATAATCCACTAATCTCATTACTCGACTATAACTTGGGCCACCTGTTCCATTAGCATTATCAGCAGAATGGAAATAAGTAAATTTGTAGTCACCAGAAGATGTTCTTTTAGGAACATATACCTTGTCTTCATTTTCTTTTCTTTTTTCAGTCTCCATACATTTATCATAATCATCTTGATAATCATTTTCCATTAGCTTTGTACCTGCTTCTTCTTCCTCTGTATTTTCTATATTTCCTTTAACACACGCTTCTTTATTCTCCAGGACTCTGGCCCTTCTTAAAAATATTTTACTATTATTCTGCGTAGACGTCAAACTCTTCTGTACCTCACTCTTTCGGGCTTTCTCTTTTTCATATTTAATTCTCAAACCTTTGAATGTGTGAATGTATTCAATCCATTCAAGTGTTTTATAAAAGTTTTCAACTACATGTGCAACAAGAGACTTGATGTTTTCCGTTCTTATATATTCAAACATTTCAATAACAGCTGAATTCAACATATTGTACCGAGTTCCATTATCCAGAAAGGCATTTACAACTGGCTCAAAAAAATTTCCCTCAATGATATAACGATTATAAACTTCATCTTTAAGCCCAATTATCTTTCTCATAAAGCGAAGAGCACATAAGACCAAGAAAGTGTGTCTCGAATTCATTAAGATCAAGACATTTCTTAGCAAGTCTTTTCTCAAAATATAGTATTTTATGTAATATGTGTGATGTTGCACACAAAATATGAGCAGCTCTAAAATTAAGCTAAGCAGCTGTGCGGTTTGATAATTATCGAGGCAATTTTTGTTGTGTACGTCAGCTCCAAGTCTATGATCCTCTTCAAGTGTATCTTCTGAAGTCGTGGCCAAAAGTGGTGCTATTACGTTATGCATACATTGTTTATAGAAGAAATTTAGAAATTTACTTCTTTCACATTTATAAGGTGTCGCTAGCATGTTGTCTGGATCAAGTAGATAACGAAGAAGTTCCATTATTTGAAAAGCACCTGCTAGCTCAGGATCAGTATCACAAGTCATTTGTTTAATTATTAAATTAATGAGAAGGTTAGCACCTTCATTCTGCTGGGCTTCTTCTATTATGAATTCTCGGATCATGGTTGGACTATGCTCCACTAGATAAGCAAATATGTCAGTAGCAGCTGACCTTATTTGAAAATCATCCAGGCTCATTACAACTTTAACAGCAGGAAGAATTCCCATTTGTGTCAATGTTTTGAACAGTGCATTCTTGTTTCGAGACTTTAATGTCTGAGTAAACGTACAGAATTCCTTGAAAAAAAGTATTAATTCGCGCCGCTTATCATCATCAGTAGTCTTATCCTTTAACTGCGCAAAAACTTCAGGCAAAAACTTGTCATCTGTCTGCAGCATGTGGATTATCTCCATCTTGTTGAGGAAAATAAAAGTTTTAAGAGCAGAAAGACAATTATCTTCCAATACGGATGGTGTAGGGAAAAGAATGTCTTGAATATACTGTACCCTGTATGTTTGATGTATTCTTTGTTTAAGTTTACAGGCTGTTATAGGTATAACTTCCTTGAACTTTGCATTTTGGGTCAAGAATTCCCTATGCCTTTTTGGCTGAGCCAAAGCAGGGTCATATTCAAGGCATCCCACCACATTCATGATACACTCATCAGAAAACAAGATCTCAAACAAAGATGTCTTGTCGAGGAATAAGATTCCTCTAACAATTGTATGCAAATGGTATAAGCCTTCAGTGTATCCCAGGTTCTCACAAGAGTGTAACAGCTGCAGTAGTTTTTTAATATAGTTCTCATTTTCCAAGACCAGGGCCAGCCTTCTGCTACGGATAGGTGAAGTGAAAGCTGAGGTGACTAAATTAGCAATGTCTTTAAGTTTACTGAGTTCACAGTTAGGCAGGTCAAACATATCAGTTTCTAGCGTTTCATCACAGTCCTCCTCTAAATCATCTAAGAGTTCTTGTGTGATGCTGACGGATGGGTCTTTTCCTTGAACCTGGCAAATGTCTTCCCAGGTCTCATGACAACTGCCTATGTCTTGGAAACTCAATGCCATTCCATGGTTGTCAGCTTCAGACCAAACAATCAATGTGTCCTTTTGTTTCTGATAGGGAGTGTCTGGAAGTATCTCAGATTCCAGCATCAGTGAACCGCTGGACTCCGACCTAACTAACAGAGCCGCGCCCTGGGTTTGAGTGTAAACTGTGGTGACAAGCCCTGAGCCTAGATAATCCCAATGTTTGTCCTCATTCAGAGTATAAAGTTTTACAGGGTGACTAGTCTTGTTCGCCATGGCAAACTCGGCGTCTTTACCTCAGCGCTGTTCTCGGCGGCGTAGTTCTCGAAGGTGCCGAAGTCCCGAAGGGATTGTAGGTGCCGCTGCTGTGGCTGGCTACGGTGGCTGAGATGGCTGGTGGCGGGGGAGGGCGGTGGGCAAGATGGCTGGTCTGGATAGTCACAGAAAAGAAGATGGCGGCGGCGTAGTCGGGGTCAGAGGAACGGCTGCGTAGTAGCGTTACAAGGATGCTGGCAGCTCCTAAGGTCAGTAGGGTTCCCTGGAATCCTGCTACAGCTCACTTCCCTCTCATGTTCCCCTCCCTCCACTTTGCTCCCCCATATTCTCTCTAATATGCACTTCGAAAGGGAGACTCTCACCCTGCTCGTGGCCGTCCAGGAGAGCCTCAATTATGACAGGATTCTAATGAGCCTCCCAGAATTCTACTCAAAAGGAACGTTGTATACGTATTAATGCAGAGTTGCCACCCAACTTGCATAGGGAGGCTTAGGAATTAGAGTCAAGAATCCTGTTCCCTTATACGTTTTGTCCCCTGGAACCATTTTCATTCATCAGGTGTCTGGGGGTGGAGACTTAGGACCTTTGACAAACAAAAGCTTAATCACTTATGTCATTAAGTCCACACCTGACACTGTAAGTCAAGAAAAGGCTCCCCTCTCGCAAAACAAGCAGGAGTAAGTGAGCTGTGAACTATTAGGAATAGCCAGAGATCTGTAGTTGGGACTTCTTCTTTTTTTTTTTTTCTGGGCTAGAATTTTAATCTTAAAAATTATGACATCAAAGTATATAATTACTATTCAGTTTCATTCTTTAAATAGAAATCATTCTTCTTCTACTAAAAACTCACCTTAAAAAATATTTTAGTAGAATTTGTGAGTCCATAGCATTATTCATTTTTTTATTTATTTTATTTTATTTTTTATTGATTAATTTTTGTTACAGATGATTCTCATTTTTTCCCCCACTGATTCCCCCCTCCCCCTCCCCACCCTGCCCCTTCCCCAGATTGTTGTCCATGTCCACTGTTCATGCATACGTGCGTATAAGTTCTGTGGTTCATCCCTCCCCCACCTCCCCACTCCTTAGGGGATTGTCAGTCTGTACCCCGCTTCAGCGTCTCTGGGACTACCCCATTCCTCAAACTGTTATGTTCATTATATTCCATAAATAAGTGAGATCATATGAAATTTGTCTTTCTCTGTTTGGCTTGTTTCACTTAGGATGATACTTTCAAGGTCCCTCCATGTAGTCTCAAAGGATAAGAGATCTTTCTTTCTTACTGCTGCGTAGTACTCCATTGTGTATATGTACCACTGCTTTTTTATCCATTCGTCTACTGATGGGCACTTGGGCTGTTTCCAGATCTTAGCTATTGTAAATAGTGCTGCTATGAACATGGGGGTACATATATTCTTTTTGATTGGTGTTTCAGGCTTCTTAGGGTATATTCCTAGAAGTGGAATCACTGGGTCAAATGGAAGATCAATTTTTAATTTTTTGAGGTGACACCATATTGTTTTCCATAGTGGCTGCACCAGTCTGCATTTCCACCAGCAGTGCACTAGAGTCCACTTTTCTCCACACACTCGCCAACACTTGTTGTTTGATGATTTGTTGATGGCGGCCATTCTGACAGGTGTGAGGTGATACCTCATTGTTGTTTTGATTTGCATCTCTCTGATGATTAGTGATGATGAGCATTTCTTCATATGTTTCTTAGCCATTTGTATGTCCTGTTTGGAGAGGTGTCTATTTAGTTCCTCTGCCCATTTTTTTATTGGATTCTTTGTCTTCCTTTTGTGGAGTTGTATGAGCACTCTATATGTATTGGAAGTTAACCCCTTATCTGATAATCATTGGCAATTATGCTCTTGTAGTTGGGACTTCTTAATGAGGCTTGGCCTATACCTTTATCACTCACTTAACTTATCTATCCTCTGGGGAGGGACTTAAACTTTTTCACTCTTTTCAGCTCTCTCTGGAGCTTTCTATTTTAGTACAGTGAGGAAATTTTTTTTTCTCAATTTTTTGTAATCTATAAAGGAGTGGGCCAGAGGGAAACAGTTGAAATTAGCCAGGATTGAATATTAAATATCACATATCAATTGTTTTATTTATTTATAAAAATGTTTTATTGATTTTAGAGAGAAAAGGAGAGAGAGAGAAACGTTGATGTGACAGAGAAACATTGATTGGTTGCCTCCCGCACACACCTGGGATGGAATTCACAACCTGGGTATGTGTCCTGACTGGGGAATCGAACCAGTGACCTTTCTATGTGCACCAGACACCGCTCAATCAACTGAACCACACTGACTAAGGCCAATTGTTTTATTTCTTAATAAATATGGTAATAATAACAGCCACAATAAACGAGTAATAATACTTGAGCATTTATTATTATTATAAAGAAAAGCAACAATATAAATGATCAAATACACTTGAGTGCTTATATATTCAAGACACTGACAAGAACTTTTATATATATCTTTATATGATTTTCATAATAACCATTATATAGAGGTATTAAGCATCCTTTTAATATTAGCAAACAAATTTAGAGAAGTTGAAATAAGTCACCAAAGGTCACACTGCTAATAAGTTGAAAAACTGATTTGAACACATCTTTTTGATTCCCAAATTGGTTTTCTCAGCCACTAAACTATGCTATCCCCTTCTTTTCTTGGCCTTCATTACACTTTATTTCACATTCCTTCCATCTATATAATTTGTAATCAACATAAAATTATCAAGAGAAGATGAAAGTCACACACTTCCTCCTTTAGATCCACATCTGTGTGTAGCCAACCAAAAAATAGAAGCTTGTATATGGCAACTCTGTTAAATATAATTTTAATAGTAACCAAGTTGATTTTTGATGTAGTAGCAACTTCTGCAGTTTTCTTTAAAAAATTTTTGCCCCCAAAACTTTTAACCCTGCTATTGCAAGGGAAAAAAATGAGAATTGGGCCACATCAAGCACATTTGGACTTCAAGAGTCCTAATTGTAACAATAACTTCATTTTAAATAGCATTGCAGGTGTGGGACAATTCTTAACTAGACTCAGAAAAACTGTTTCACATACCTCTCTTGCAATGTCACCTCCAGGAGATTATAGTACAGGAATATTCCCTGGGACAGGATATCTGGGACACTTGGGAATTGAATGCAAATGACAGTCATTTCATGAGAAAATTAAAATCAATGCCAGGATCTTCTGGTTTAGAAACATTTACAAATTATAAATAATACTTAGACGTAAAGATTAATAAATTACTAATACGAAAATTGATATATGTAGTAGTTTGAAACTCCTGTCTTATTTCTTTTTTCTTTTTTTAGTATGTGCCCCTAGTGGGAACTGAACCTGGGACTCTCTAGTCCACAGGCCAACGCTCCAACTGCTGAGCCAAACCGGCCAGGGCACTCCTGTTTTATTTCAATAAGAGAGGTTATGCAAATATATAACAATAATGACATGCATGCTAATGTCCAATTTTTTCTCTGTTGTGGTTATATTAAAATTTCTATCAAAATCAATTATAATACTTGTCAATTGTCTGAATCTACTCTCAGGTTTCATTCTCTGAGAGACAGTCAGCACAAATCTGTGTTCTCACAATTTTATCACAGGGAGTTTCCTTTAGGCCTGTTAAGGTCCTATTATCTTAACTAGGTTAACTAGAATCTCTTTACAATCTAAAAGAGCCTCCAGTCTGCATTTCTTATTGCTATTTCTGCAATAGATTCTTTCAGTTTCTGTCTTATTTGGTTTAGGAAGTAGAACAGTGCTCTTTTGTGCTTCAGTACTTCTACCTACCTAAAATTATTATCTTGTTTTGTTTTGTTGTTGTTTTACAGAGAGCAAAGTAATAAGAATTTTAAAATGCATATTCCAGGAGCTAAGTCCCTTATGTAGGCAGTATTTATTTTTTATTTAATCCTCATACAATAATGGCCTGAGGAAGATATTATTTATTACTACCATATCAGAGAGGAAAAAATTTGAAACTCTAAAACTGAGTTGAGCATTTGGTTCAAACCTCTGAAGAAAGTGATGATACTAGGACTTCAAAGTAGGCCTGTGGAGTTCCAACTTGCTGTGCCCAGTGTATCATGCTTTTTCTTAGAGTATGCATAGATTGTTATAGAAGATGTTTAAAATAGTATGATTTTTATCCTAACTATCGTTACTGTTTGAAGGAAAATCTTTGAGGCTGGTTCAAAATCAAAATGGGTAGATTTACTCTGAAGGCACTGGTTCCTGTTTTGGATGCCTGTCTCTTTTATGCTTCCTCTCTATGACTTTGGGGTAGTCAGAAGTAATTCTTTGTTTTTTTGTTTTTGTTTTTTAACTTATCTTTATTGTTGAATGTATTACAGATGCTCCTCCTTTTCCACCCATTGACCCCCTCCTCCCCGCTCTCCTGCCCCTTCTGCCTTTCCCCACACTGTTGTCTGTGTCTATTGGTTATGCATATATGCATGTAAGTTATTTGGTTTATTTCTTCCCACCTCCCATCCCCCCTCCCTTTGAAGTTTGTCAGTCTAACAACCAATTTGTACTTCTTAATCCCTTCACCTTTTTCACCCATTCCTCCAATCCCCTCCCATCTGGCAACCAACAAAGTGTTCTTTTAATCTATGAGAATGTTTCAGTTCTGCTTGTTCATTTTGTTTGTAGATTCAATTGTCGATAGATATGTATTTATCGCCATTTTGTTTGTTCATATTTTTTATCTTTTTTTTCAAGAGGGCCCTTCAACATTTCATATAATAATAATAATGGTTTGGTAGTGATGACCTCCTTTATCTTCTTTATCTTTCTTTTTTTTTTTTTTGTCTGGGAAACTATATGGTCATTGATTCTAAATGACAGCTTTGCAGGATAGAGTAATCTTGGTTGTAGGTTCTTGCTTTTCATCACTCTGAATATTTCTTGCCACTCCCTTCTGGCCTGCAGTTTCTTTTGAGAAATCAGCTGACAGTCTTATGG